CATATATCTCCAAGCATTCAATTATGAAGACTTTTCAGTGTGGAAAATTGTCAAAATTTGCCAGTGAATACCCATATATTACTTAGACTCAACAATTAACATCTTACTTATAGTGCCTGCTTCATCATGCGTCTGTTCACTCGACTACCTGCTCTCCAATTCCTCCTGTTTAGAAGGAGGGGCACACTTCAGAGCCAGCTGCAGACACTATCGAAGGCTTTTGAAGAAGGCAGTCATTGGCCTCTCTGCATCATCTCTTTAGATTCTTCCTTGCCCCCTTACGCTCTAGTCGCTCCGGCAAAAAGCAGACAGATGTTCACCCTGCTGTTGCTTTTCAGAGTCTTGAGTCCAAATCATTCACCCTCTCCTCGCTCATCCCCCAGATTTTGAAATTGACAACCCAGAAGACCACAACTTGTCTGCCTGAACAAAATCAATCATCTCCACTCTTATTCGTTGTATGAGTTTTGCTTGGTTGAATTTTTAAAATTCAACTGAAATGTGATATAGGGTGATGATAACAACAAAAGGAGCATAAAGAAAAGTTTAATCACTCAGTGTCCCCCTCGGAGATCATCGTGACAAGTTAATCACAGTGAGGGGCTCTTGGCTTTGCTTATCCGGTACCCATTCTCCCTCTGCTGATGACACCACGCTCTCAGGGAGAACTGCCCCTTCCACTTCCACGTGCCCAACTCCTGCATCTACGGTGGGCACAGGAACTAGGCCATGCCACCCAAAGCATTTTGTCAATGGGTCATTGTGACTAGTTACAAGATGAGCATGGGACCTAAACCCAAAGCAGTGAGATTCGGATCCAGGGCCTTCCCAGAGTTACCAAGAAAGTAGAGCTCTTCCCTCGGGGGTAGTCACCTCTCTGGATAGAAGCCTGTGTTTTCTAGGGGTCTGAAGGTCCAGAAGTCGTCCTTGAAGAGAGCCAGCAAATTTAAGGGTGGCCAGCCAGAGGAAGGGACGAGGGTTGGCAATGAGATGGGGAGATTCCATCACCTGCCGTCAAGTGCCTGGATCCAGCTCTGCCTGGATCGCATGCCTCCAGACTCAGCAGTCAGGTGAGTCTACTCTGTTTACTGCTTTAAGCCAGACTGGCTTGTGCTTTTGCTCCTTGCACTGAGAGTAATTCAAAAAGTTCATGAAAAAGTAGGGTCAAAAGTTTACTTAGATGGAAACAAGTGTTTTAAATCCATGCATTTCCCCCCCCAAAATATGCATTTTCCATGAACATTTTAAAGATCCTTCATATGCATGTGTTGTGCCTGGATCAGTGTCAGGGCAGCAGGTTGGCTCCTGGTGGCACGGGGTATGGCTGCACAGGCGTTCTGCAGACAGCAAGCGGGCAGCAAGCAGGCAGCAGCAGGTCATCGCGCTGGGTCAGTGTTGCACCTCTGCAGGCAGCGACAGATCGCTGTGCAGGATCAGTGTTACAGCTCTGTATGCAACAGCAGGTCACCGTGCCTGGTCAGTGTCACAGCTCTACAGCCAGCGACAGCAGACCCGCACCATCTCTGCTGCTTCCATCGCCATTTTGGGCTTCCCTAAATGAGTCACCAGGAGTCAGACTTCCATGTAAACACACAGGAGTGTTTTCGAGTTCGCCCAGGTCTCTGAAGAACACGAAGACCCTGAGCCTCTAAACTACAAGGTTTTTATACAGCCAAACAGCCAATCAGAATCATAATTTCGTCATCCTTCATCTACATAGGATCTTATCTCTAGGACACACTATTGGTTAGTTCAAAGGTAAATTCATGGGTCACAGGGGACATGCAAAGGGATCAATTTAAGGCACACACTATTGGTTAACTACTTAACCTTTTAAGGCACACTGCTGGCCAACTCTTAGGACCTCACTAAGACATATTATTGGTTAACTATCTTTCCAAGGCACACTACTGGTCAACTATTGAAAACTATTGGGTCCTATCCTTCTACTTTGGGTTTCTCTTCTACTTTGAGCGGGAGTTACTATGTAAACACAGGTTGCTATGGGGATACACTTTGAGCAGGCAAGTCTTATCTAAAAGGGCAGATCAGGGGTCTTTTGCCTGGTGAGATGCTCTTTCAGCGTGACTGGACAAATGTCATTTAGGCTGTTCGGCCCGTGAGTTCACACAGTTTCCTAGCCAGGCAAGCGAGACAGAAGTTACAGCAGTTACAGAAGCAGAAATATCGCAGTTAGCAATCAGCAGCAGGCAAATGGCTAGAATTCTGGTTCCCAGGTTCCTCACATAAACTCCAAAATATTTTCCACCAGCACAAACTTATCTTTTAATTCTGTATTTCATAACTACTGAATTTGCAAGTACAGGCCAAAATTTTTCTAATTATAGGAAGTTGGAAGTTCCCACAGAAACTCTGTATAACTAGGTATATATAGTTTTCTGTTAATTCTGGGTTATCTGTACAAATATATTTGTAGGCAAAACTGTGTGTGTGTGGGGAGGGGGTATAGATTGATTCAGGATGGAAGAAAAATCTGAGATCCTAATGGTCATAAAAATGCCAAAATAAATGAGGAAATGCTATAAAGTCCTTGGCTTTCCATGTGATTAAAGCCTTATTAAGAAGTGGTTCCCAACTTCATACCTCCTGCACTTCCCTCAAGCCTCTTATCTAAAAGCTGCATGAGAATGTGGTTATTCTGTTCAGGGGCCAGCTGCCCTGCACAGGAATTGGATAGCAGACATGCCGGGGAGTCACAAAGCAGGGTGGCCTTGAGGAGCAGGGAGTGAGGCTGATAAAAGTCCTTGAGAGAGGAATGAGTAGCTTAAAAAATAGCAAATGGCTTTGGGAAAGAGAGAGATTGTTACAGGCAAGAGAAGTAAACACTGCGACTGACACAGAAAACACAGCTGAGACCCCAGCCTTTGGACAGGCAGAGGAGGAGGTGGGGGCAGGCCTGCACGGCCCAGGGAAGCACAACTTAAGCAGATGCCAGAAAGCTGTATAGAGATGCCAAACACTACTGCAGCTGCTTCTTACTCCTTCATAGCAGGGACACGTGCTTACTTCCATCAATTGTGAAAGGTCTTCAGTTAGAAAGTAGTCGTTTTTTAAAAGGATAAGCAGTATGTCTAAAAAAGACTGCGGCTGAGAAGTCATGTAAATTCATGTTTCAGACACACATACTGAGCATTTCAGCTGGCCTGCTTCAATGTGTGTGCACCATGCAGATGCATGATGATCTTCAAACTGGGCCACACTGTAATTCCCCACCTTCCGAGAACCACCTGTAACCAGCCCCTGCCTGCCTTAAGTTACCTGCAGCACTTGAAACTGAGCCCTTGTCCCTAAGGCGTTTCATGCAGACTCTACCATGCCCTCATCTCTGCCTTTGCTTGAAGTTCTGCTATCTCCAACTGGATTTCAAGGTTACAGGCACTGTGGAGCAGCCAGAGACCTGCTCATGAGCTATACCACCCAACTCCAAGATTAATCTGTAAGATCCACCTACTCCATTCCTTCTGAGAGTCCAGAATTGAGTCTGTACTTCTTGCTCTGCCCTCTGCAAAATAAACATCTACTTTCTTCCACCACCAAAATCTAGGCTTTATTTTGTTTCCTCCTGAGATGCCTATCTCAAGACCACTTTTGTACTTTGTATCCTGAGTCCTAGTTGAACTTAATCATTTACCAACAGATGTCCTATTCAGCTATTCTCAGCAAGCAAAACACAGAAGGCAAGAAAGCAAGCTAAATTCAGCACCCGCAAAGTAAAATGAAAGGCACCTACCATACGGAGATAGGGAACCTGCAGTCTGCCAGGACAGTAGCAAAAACATTTACAAGTTTCCTGCCAGCCCCTCTCAACCCAATAAACAGAGTATACTCTTCACACAGTAGTTTAACAAACTTCATTGCAAATACAATATTTCCCAACAATTAAAAGATTCTCATTCTGATAAAATGCACATGACATCACACCTGTTGAAGCATTGTAAGTGTATTCTTCCAGGACAGTGAGCTTATTCACACCGTTTCACAATCATCACCACACATCTCCAAGCCCCTTTATCATCTCAAACTGAAACTACACTTACTACCGTTCATTCCCCAGCCCCAGCACTGCGCACCTCCCCCCATTTGTTGCCCCTGGTAACCATTCTTCCTCTATGAACTATTTATTTTCATTTTTATTTTTTATTTTGCATGGTAATTACATAGTTGATCACGATGGAAAGGATCAAGGGTTACAGATAAATGAGTGAAATAATTATTTCCAAATTTGCTATTTCTTATTGTTTCTAGGGGGAAGGGAGAGATAAAGAGGGAAGCCACACCCAGCTTGCCAAGTATCTCAGTACCTAGGGATGGGGAAGCACCACCCAATATCCACCCAGAGCCCCGGTGTGTGCAACTTTCAAGGGTTCTGCCCAAGAGGTTCGGATAGTTCTTAAATGCTGTCGATTTTGCTGATCCAAGGTCTGTATGAATTTTACTACTCTAAGTAACTCATGCAAATAGAATCACAGAACAATCTCATTTAGATTTTTTTTTAATTTTTGTGGATTTTTTTATTCATTGTCAAAATTCTCCACTAAATTTGTATACAAAATTTTTAAAGATATTTCTAGGAAAGGGTCCAATGTATTTTCTATACATAATACATATTTGTTAAGTTATTAAAATGCCTATAGCAGCATAGTTGCTGACTTGGTATATATTTTTTTTAAGATTTATTTATTTATTGGAAAATCAGGTATACAGAGAGGAGGAGAGACAGAGAGGAAGATTTTCCATCTGATTATTCACTCCCCAAGTGTCATCTTGATTTTTAAATTTAAATGTACATATATATAATTATTATTATTATTTGAAAGACAGAGTTACACTGAGAGGAGAGAATCTTCCCACATGACCACAAGAGCTAAAAGCGAAGCCAATCTAAGCCAGGAGCCAGGAGCTGGGCCTGAAGACTAGCAGACACCCCCTGCTGCTTTCTCAGGCCACATTCAGGGAGCTGGATTAGAAGTGGAGCAGCCGTGCTCGCTTCGGCAGCACAAATACTAAAACTGGAACAATACAGAGAAGATTAGCATGGCCTCGGCGCAAGGATAACCCACAGATTTGTGAAGTGTTCCATATTTTTAACAGAAAGGAAAAAGACGGAGCAGCCAGGACAGATACCAGCGACCATATGGGATGCCAACACTGCAGGTTGAGGCTTAGCGTGCTATGCCTCAGTGCCAGTCCTATTCCCACCTATTTTTAATGATTTATAAATTTAGTCCATAACCACTTATTTTAAATACATCAAGCACTTTGAAGCATCCACAAAGGCTAGATGTTTTATATACATTCTCATTTGGATTTCAATGCTCTGTATTCAGTTCTGTTAAATAAAACTGTACGCACATAGCAACCGTCATAATCCAGGGTGTCCGCTAAATATGACCATTTTGGCTTGAGTTATGCCCTCCTGACTTCCTTCTCTCCATCCAATCCCCTTGGCAAGTACAGGCCCGGGTAATGGCTGGAGATGTCTGAACAAGTGCGCTTCCAAAAGTAGAAATGGCTTTATCTATGAACTGCAACACAGAGTGTACAAAATGTACTAATTTTACTAACTTTACTTTGTCATGCATTGGCAGCCTCTTTACTGCCTTAAGCCCACAAGCTAAGCTACAAAACTGGGACTCATTGGTATATTAGTTATAGCCTTACACAGACAGCCAAACAAGCTGCCTATCTCACAAACACGCCTGCGTCTGAAACTACCCAGGAACAAACACATGAGTATATTATCATTTGCATTTCCTTCCTTCCCACCTTCTGCAATCAAACAAGTCCTGCCAGCCCACTCGCCCATTCACAGAGGTAGTGCATAACTCATTTCCTACTATATTTGAAAAATACATTTATAGGGGAGTCCAATGCGGTAGCCTAATAGCTAAAGTTCTCACCTTACATGTGCCAGTATCCCATATAGGCACTGGTTTGTATCCTGGCTGTTCCACTTCCCTTCCAGTTCCCTACTTGTGGTCAGAGAAAGCAGTCAAGGAAGGCCCAAAGCCTTGGGACCGTGTGCTCGTGGGGGAGACCCAGAGGAGGCTCGTGGCTCCTGGCTTTGGATTGGCTCAGCTCTGGGTCAGTTCCAGGTCAGCTCCGGCCATTGTAGCCACTAGACGAGGGAATCGGTGGATTCACCCTGCTGTCCCTTCTCTATCAATCCCAAGGGCCATCGAGTTCAAATTTTTAAGAGAAAATCTTCCCTGGGAATTTTAATATAAAGATCACTGTAAATTTAACAACTATATTTTGCCATAGCAGACAGCCTCTTTATCATCTGAAATGTATAGGTGCCTGTCCTTGTGAAAAGGACAAATTAGGACAGGGGAACTTAATTTTTTTTTTTTTTTTTTTTTTTTTGCCTTCTGTATCTTGCTTGCTGAGAATAGCTGAATAGGACTTCTCTTGGTAAATGATTAGGTTCAATTGGGACTCAGGGTACAAAGTCAAGTCCCTGAGTTCCTGATAGAGGCTCCAAAGGTCTGAGAAAAGCCAACTCAAGGAACAGCAGTCTTATGATGTAACGGTCAGAAGAAAAAAAAAAAGAAGCCCCTAGTTTTATGATTTTATGGTTTTATGGTTTTAGCCTTTACCCTTTGTGCAAGTGATTTTTAAATGCTGTGTAAGTGATTTTGGCCTATAAAAAGAATGTTGTGTAATGGCTCAGGGCTGGTGTGCCTACCCTCCTGTGTGAAAAACTGGCCCCAGTCCCAGCGCGCTGGTACCCGAATAAAGGCTCATGCTTTTGCATCAAGCCTCGTCTTCGCTGATCATTGGGGAGACTCACTTTCTCGATAGACAGTAAGGCGTCCTCACTTCGGGGTGCCTTATATTTGTATGCACTATAATGTGCATAGCAGAGCCAAACACCATGCATGCACCGTAACCTAGCACCAGCACCCTGGTCCAGAACTCCACGCTGACTGCTCTTCTCTGGAACAATGCAGGCACACACACACACACACACACACACACACACTGTGCACTTGCTCAGGCAAGTGGTATGGTCATTCCAAAAGAGCCTTCCCTGCGAATGACAGCACAAACTGATTCACATAAAATGTGCTTTTACTATATCCACCTTGCACGATACAGGGGGTCCTCTGAACTATCTAAAAAGACGACACATTGCCCAGAACCGACTCGGCAACGTTGACTACATGGACAGTGAGGAAAACGCCACACACACAACACAACGCTAACGACAGGCGGAAGTCTTCTACATCCCGCCAGTCTGGCAGCTTCCTCCTCCTCCCGGCCGTCTGCCCCGTGTCCTCACAGCAGTGAACGCACGTGGACGGACGTCCTTCTGGGCTTTGCTTCCACAACAGCCTAACAGTTCTCCTTCAAAAAAGTCATTTGCACAAGCCAACCAATTACTTGTTTTAAAAACATGCCATTTTCTAGCTATCATGCATTGCAAACCGCTCCCTACCCTCGTTTCTATGTCTAGATGTAGCCAGAATTTTTTTTTTACATGTTTTTTTAAAAATTGTTACTGAAAAGGCAGTGTTAGGGTCTGATTTTGCCAATTCCCCAGAAACGACGCAGAGTTTATTGTGCCAGCATGCCGGGGTCAGACCGTTCTTGGGGCATGCAGGACAGCCAAGGAGAGGTCGGACCCCGAACTAGAGAGAGCCAGAGATTATATAGGCCCCCTTCCGGCCATCACATACATCATAGTAGAGCATCACAGAGTAACAGACTTCAGACATGTCATTTTTATGGCTTCCAGGTACAAACAGTCCACTCCGTTCCCACACACATTATCTTTATGGCCCCATGGTTTAAACAGCTCATTCCGTTCCCACACCCATTATCTGTATGGCTCCCTCTGTTCCTGGGACCGAATGATTGCACCCCTGTCCTCCTGCACCGGCAGTATTTTACAGATAAGGTTAGAGACACTGTTCACAAGGCCACAGAGGAACAAAGGACCTATCTATCGCTAAAGTGGAGTTTTCCCATGGTCGGGACGCATCCTGACCTAGCAAAGCAGCAGTTTCTGGGCACGAAGGGCCTAACGTTGCCTAAACGCTAGCATTCTAACATTATACTAACACCCTGGCAGATTTACAGAAAAAAGAGAAACATCTTCCATTCATTCGCTCACTCTCCAAGTGGCCACATCAGCCAGAGCGGGGCCAGTTCAAATCCAGGAGCCAGGCCCATGTGGGTGCTGCAGCGCAAGCCCGAGGGCTGCACATCCTGCCGCTCGCCCAGGTGCATTAGCAGGGAGCTGGATGGGAAACGGAACAGCCAGGACTCCAACAGAGAGACACAGGGCATGTCTGACAGCAGACCAATGCCGACTACGCCCCAAACTGTTTTAAAGTAGGGCTGTATCCATTTTTTTCAGCTATTTTGTTTAAAACTCAGGGTTACAGAATGAGAGGGAAGAGGGAGAGATCTTCCATTAGCTGATTCGTTCTCCGAAAGGCCGTAACAGCCGAGCTGAATCAGGCTGAAGTCGGGAACCCTCTGCGGGTCTCCCACATGAGTGCTGGACACTCAAATACGTGGGCCAGCCGCCACTGCTCTCCCAGGCGAAACAGCAGAGAGCTGGCTGGGAAGTGGAGCAGCAGGGACTGGAGCTGCCATTTCGTGACTTAACTTGCAGCAGTCAGCCAGACCTGCCAGTGCCCCACTATTTCTTTCCAGCACTGGGAAGCGGCAGTGCCTGTTCCACGCACGGCTCATCGGCAGCGGCCTGGCCACGGCGACCCTACCCACGAGGTAAGGACAGGCCCGCATCAGTGCCAGACAGCATTCTGGCTTCATGACCAACTGCCCGAACGGTTCCAACCGTCCACCTCCGTCAGCTGTGGCCCTTGGGTTCTCCGGGACCCGGAGGTCACGCCACGCGTCCCGCGTGGGGCTGGGGGGCTGGGGGCGGCCCGCCTCGCCCGCCTCGCCCGCCTCGCCCGCCTCGCCCGCCTCGCCCGCGGCCCGCAGCCCGCAGCCCCGCCACCCGCCAGGTCCCCTCCTCCGTTACCTGAGGGGTCTGCGGCCCCACTCGCTCGCGTGGCCCAGGACGGGCTTGGGGAGGCCCTGGGGGGCCATCAGCTCTCGGGGCGCGGGGCCGCCAGGGTCAGTTGGGGTGCGGGGCCTCACCCCGCACACTCCTGGGCGACTTCCTGTCCACTGTGCTCACTTCCGGAAGCCGAAACTACGGTGTTTCCCCTTTAAAAAAAAAATGTAGGCGTACAGGTTGAACCAGCCTTGCTTTTCTACGCTGTAATTCCACATTTCTCCGAATCCACAAGCTCTTGGCTACTGCGTTCAAAAAGTAAGAGAAAATACTATTTTGTACTGGCTAACGACGAAAAGCCCCGCTGTTTTACTTTACTAAATCTTGTCCTGACAGGTCTTAAACAGTAATCTGGTTTTCTGAATTTTTTTTTAATAATAATATAGTTCTATAGGATCCAGGATTTCCCTTGCTGCCTCCCCAAATCCCTGCCACCCCATTAGTTTCCTCCATGTTTTTTTTTTTAAAGATTTATTCATTTATTGGAAAGTCAGGTATACAGAGAGGAGGAGAGACAGAGAGGAAGATCTTCCGTCCAATGATTCACTCCCCAAGTGAGTGCAACAGCCGATGCTATGCCGATCCGAAGCCAGGAGCCTCTTCCGGGTCTGCCATGCGGGTGCAGGGTCCCAAGGTTTTGGGCCATCCTCAACTGCTTTCCCAGGCCACAGGCAGGGAGCTGGATGGGAAATGGGGCCACCAGGATTAGAACCGGCACTCATATGGGATCCTGGTGCGTTCAAGGTGAGGACTTTAGCCGCTAGGCCACTGCGCTGGGCCCTCCATGTTTTGTTTTTAAAGACTAAAAATTGTAGGGAAAACCAGTTATGATTAATTAGGGGAAGAGTATTGTGACACAGTTAGCTAAACCATGTGACAACTGGTTCGAGTCCTGACTCCTCCATTCCAATCCAGCTCCCAGCTAAAGGCCTGAGGTACAACGTGGCTCAAGTGCCTGAGACCCTGCCACCCACTCACTCATCAGGTGAGATCTTCCATCCACTGATTTACTCTTCAAGTGGCCCCAACCACCAGGGCGTCCCCAGGCCAGCCAGGATCCCCCTCGTGGGCTCAGGAGCTCAAGCACTTGGGCCATTTCCTGCTGTTTTCCCAGGGATCTGGCATTGTGGCATAACAGATAAAGCCACTGTCAGTGAGGCTGGCATCCCATATAGGCACCAGTTTGAGTCCCAGCTGCTCCAGGTGCGATCGAGCTGCCTGCTAGTGGGAGAAGAAGCCTAAGATGGTCCAAGTGTTTGGGTTGTATCACTTCCATGGGGAACCTGGAAGAAGCCTCTGGCTTTGACCTGACCTGGCTAGTGTGGCTATCTGGGGAATGACCAAAAGAACAATTGTTACAGCTGCATTCCATCACTGAGGCAAGAATTGACAAAACACGATCAGCTGTCTTTCTTTTGCTTTCTAACTCTCAGGAAGTAACTCCCCAGGGGGCAGAATGTAGAGGAATCCAGAACACTGAAGACAAAGTCATCTGAGCAATGCAGGGAGAACTGAGAAGGATGTGGGAATCAATGTATTATTTTTCTATGCAGCACACATTCAGTGACTTAAAACAACACCGGCTGATAATCTTAGGGTTCTCTTAGTCAGGAGTACAGTGGTGTCAGCTGGGAGCTCTGCTGATGACCTCCACAAGCTTGGAACTCAACGCTGGTCCCATAAGGCTCTGGGGAAGAATCTGCTCGCAGGTTCATTCTGATTGTTGGTAGAATTACTTTCCTCTTCATGGTTTCCATGTGGTCCCTTCCATCTTCAAGGCAGCACCCATGGGTTGAATCCTTCTCATGCTCTAAATCTCTATGAGTTTCCATTGTCCTGTATCTGTCTTACTTGTTTCTTCCCTTTAGGAAAAGAGGTTTATGTAATTATGTTACAGGGAAAAGAGTGACGGAAGATGACTTTGGTTCTTGTCTCACACAGAAGCTCCACGCCGATAAGACAGTGAACAAATCAAGATTTCTGTAAGGCCTTCTGCAACAGCAGCCAGGAAGGGGACTCCAAGAGAGGAAGACTCCAGAAACTCAAAGTGGTGTTTTTAAAACACAGTTTTGATGAGCAGAATATTAGATGCCAATCAAAGGCCCAGGACAAAACCTGTCAGAGGATCAGAACTGTAGCCCCACTTAGCCTGCTCCAGGCAAAACAAGAAATCTAGGGCTGGCGCCCTAGTACTCTGGCTGTGGCAAACGAACCAACAGGTGAAAGATCTCTTTGTCTCTCCACTCTAGCAACGGCTCTCAGGTACATAAATAGTTTTAAAAAGTAAAATAGCAACTCTAGAAGTTTCATAACATTTCAAATAACATATTACAATTAAATTATAGGGATGATTGCTTAATCTGGAATCTGAGATAATTTATGACTCAGGAAATCATTTATTGTTGCCATGTTACTATTTTAGAGGTATTATCATCGTGACCCTCAGAGAGTGAATTTAACTTGCCTAAGACCAAGTGGCTGAAAAGCGACCAGTGTGATTTTGAATGTAGACTGTCCGACTTAAAACATATCAATTATTAAAGTGATACACGGACATCCTACCACTTTAAATCAAATGCGTTTTAAGGCTATTCTTTTTTTTTTTTTTGATGGTCAAAACCGAAATTTATTAGTGGCATCAGACTTTATACACTGAGGGTTTTGTGGGATAAGGGAGGAAGTATTGAGTTCATTAACAAAACCCAGTAACAGTTTCTATGCTTTTGTTTGGAACTCCTTTTGTCTTGTGTATTCCACCAAGTGTCCTCACACACATACTGTCCATTCAACTGTTCCTATGCAAATGACATCCAATCAGGTATACAAAAGGTGGCCATTCGGTCGTCCTCATGCAAATATTATCCTGTGCTGGCTGACCTTCTAGGGTCACAATGTCCTCCTACAAATCCCCACTTCTGTGCTTTGTAAAATCAGGCCTGAAAGATGTAGCTGGGGGAAACATGCTCTTGGAAGAGCAGAAAAATGGGGAGAAACAATATTATATATTATACAAAGATGACTTCACCAGGGACCACATACGCTAGCTGCCTATTATTCCATCTAGCTCCTTAACATCCTTTTTCCCCAGAGAATGCCCATTGGCTGCATTATCAGGGATAGGGGCAGGCGATCACTCTGCTTACTTCAAGCTGAGAAAGAAGTGTAGAGGGGGCCCCAGCAAAGGCTATTCATTGTTGACTGTTGACTTTGGACTGTTAAGCCCAAATTCCTTATCCAGTTGCAAATTGCTCATCTCCCATTTGTTCCTACACAATCTCCCTCCTAACAACCTTATACATCATTTAATTGTATTCAAAGTTATTCTCCAACACAAAAAAGTGTGCGAACAATGTCACTATTTTATATTTCCCCTTAATGTCCTGCTTAAAACAGTGGTTTTTCTTATCTGCTTTTAATCTTGCTACGATAGCACACCTCATGTTCCCATATGCTTCTAGAATATTCCCGACTCAGAATGAAGCATATTAATACCTTTATATTATTATCAAAAATACTATTGTTGCAGGATTTTTGACTCCGAGTATGGCAGCAACCTCAAATTCTTGTCTCGCAGGAAAGAAGAATTTTCATACGGACACAGTTTAGTTTTAAAGCAAGATTTATTAGAAAAGCTGAGAAGAGAAGACTCCCGTCCTAGCGACGGGAGGGGGTTTTGAGATAGAAAGGACCCTCACCCCCTGCCATAGTGGCAGGAGGAAAAGGACCCCAGTGCTCTGCCATAATGGCAGGAAAATAAGAACCTGTATCAATGGTGGGGAATGCGCCTTTTAAAGGTTTCCCTCAAAGATGTTTCTCCATGAACAAAGAAAGTTCCTGGTTTCCATGGTACCTGGCCTTGGGACAAAAGGCCACAGAGGTGCCAGACATAGGACATTCCAGGCCTTAGGCAGATGTGTATTACTTCTTCCTGCTCTCCTTTCAATGAGAAAGCTATCAGCCTGAGGCCCTCCCACAATGGCCAGAGCTGATGGCTGATACTTCAGGTGGGGAATTGATATGCTAATAGCACCCCTGTCCCTTGGAAGAGACGTGCCCTGGTGAATCCAAGACATGGTGGGGAAATTTTCTTTTACTTGGGGACCCAGAATACCCTAACTGCCTACTACCCACTCTAACTCCTCTCTCACTATTGACCTCCAAGACTCCCAGAATCTCAGACCGCATTGGAGAACTTACTGACCTTTTATGTCAGTCTTTGCCTCATGTTTTTGTAGTGAGTTGTACAAAGCAGGTGGTTCTACTTTTTGATACAGAGGGGGTTTTACAGTCATCACCAGGGCTTAATTTCTTGCCCTCTCTGCAGCCTGGACTCGATTATTGATTGTTTGCTCGCGGCTACCAACCACATTGGCTCACAGGGGACCTAATGAAACCAAGTGTAGCCAATTTACAGATTCCCAGTTTACGGAATCAAAGAAAACCATATTAGGCCTGTGGTCTCGAATCGCAAAATTTAAGGGTTTGTCGAAAAACTCGGTAATAAACGAAAACTTTCGTATGGCATTTAAAAAATTCAAACAAATTAATGATCGATTTTGGTGACGGGTTTTTAAAAAATTATATACACATTCATAGTTGTCGACGCAAAGAAAAGCTGAACTCGGGCCCTGTCCTCCTAGATGGATGGTGGAAACGCCAGAGCCTGACGGGAAAAAAGCGTCTAAAAAGCTCAACGCTTAAGTCCCTGGGCCAACTTCCACTTCCCCCCTCTCCGCCACCGCCGTTCGGCCTGCACTCTGATTGGCTGTTGTGCCGCGCGCTCTCGCTGCCATTGGCCCAGAGTCGTCGGCGGTGGGCGGAGGAAGATTTACCTCAGCCGGTAGCCGGGGACGCTCATTTGGCCCTTGGCTGGCGGCCGGCGTCGGTTGTGAGGAAGCCGGCTGTGCGCTGTGGCTCCAGGTACGTTGGCGGCGGCTCAGAACCCCGCGGGAGTGGCGGTTGGACCGAGGAGGAGCTGAGGGGCCGCGCAGCGGTGCGCGGGGTCTGCGCTGAGGTCCGCGGAGCGCCAGGTGAGCCCGGCGGGGCGAGCTCCGTTGGGCCGGCTGGAGCGCGGACGGCCGCGGCCACTGCCTGGCCCGGAGAGGAGCGGGCACGCAGCCGGGCGCAGGGAGCGGGTCGAGCGGCCCCGCATGGCGGTCGGCACTGCCCGGCCGAGCGGCTTCGCTGCGTTGGGGCTTTTTGTTCTGTTTTTGGTTTTGCGTGAGTAAAACGCTCGAGTCTTCTCCCGTGTGCTTTTGCAAGTGAATGGATAACATTTAGCTAACTCCCCCAGATTTCTTTTGAGTTGTTGTTTCGGGGTGGGGGAGAAGAAATTTAAAACAATTTCTAGAATAGTTGACTGGATCTTACCAAACGATCTCAATACGCAGTGTTTAGTAGGAGCTGGAATGTCGGAGAGAATGTAAAATTCTGAGGGACATGATGAATTACCTTTTAAGAAAACTAAAGCTTACCTGTATCGGGTGCTGTGATTGATGAAACCCTTTTGTTTTTAAATAGAAAAGCTTCTGTTTAAGGATAATTTAAGATTTATGTGGGTTTTTTTTTTTCCTAATTATTCTCCCTCTGACCCCTAGTTTTTTCCCCAATTGTGGCAGGCAGGTTTAAGAATGTGTCTAAACAGAAGTAAACAATTGTTTTGCTTAAAACTTACTGAGAAAGCTGCCCCTGCCTTGTGTGGTGGGGATGCGGACGGTTCCAAGAGCAGTGCGTGTGGCTTGCTTTCAGGCACAGCTTTTTTTTGTTCTTAAGACATGTAAGATTTAGAAGACAATGATGAATCATTTACATGAGGGAAATTGTTGTATCCACTTAGACTGTTAATTCTAGATTGAATTTAATGCCATTTTCATTATGATTTTGTCGTATTGTAGCCAGTAAGTAATCTACGACATAACTTTGCAAAAACAGATGGGGAAGAAATTGAAGATAACTTATCTAACAGGAAAGCTATTGAAAATGCAAATATGAAGCACCTGAATGAAGGACTAATTACACTGAATTCAGCTTTCGTGAAGTATGCCTTTCTTTATCCATCAATTTGTTTGTAGATGTTTCGAATCTGATCTTAAATTAATCTACTTGATTCTCAGTCTTACCTGCAGATATGTACAGTCCGCATCCTCAGAATGACTTCTGCCTCAACAGAAAGCATGAGCGGTACTTTGTTGGACATGATTTGCGTGTTTTAAGAACTGGTTTATTTGGGTTCATCTTGAATTTTCTGCTCTGCTTACATTATCTGCCCTGTACTTCAATTCAGCCTTCAGTTTTATTGTATTTCTTTTTAAGCTGCTTTATTCCTTTAAGAAGCCATTGTACTCCCACAGCATAGTTCTATTATAGTGGGTGTGTACATCTAGCTGTATTTCATTCAATGTAATTAGACTAATGGTAGCTAATGAAAACTTAAAAACTCAGCCCGGCACGATAGCCTCCGTGGCTAAGTCCTTGCTTTACAAGTGCCTGGATCCCATATGGTTGCCAATTTGTGTCCCAGCTGAACCACTTCCCTTCCACCTCCCTGCTTGTGGCCTGGGAAAGCAGTTGAAGATGGCCCAAAGCTTTGGGATGCTGCACCTCAACAGGAAACCCAGAACAAGCGCCTGGCTTTGGGTCAGCTCAACTCTGGCTGTTGTAGGCACTAGGGGAATGAATCAGCAGATGGAAGATATTTGTGTATCTGACTTTCCAATAAAATAAATAAATCTTAAAAAAAAAAACTTTGAATATTCTCACAAGTGAATGATACAGAAAGATGGAAGCACTGAATTCACCATCTCATTCTGTCTCATATTCTTATATAATTTTGATTCTCAGCTGTCTGAGACTTAAGCCTGTTTTCGTATCTTAATTGCAAGACAGATTTTCATTTGTTGGTTCATTCCCCAAATGCATTACTTGGGGTAAGTTGGGTAGGCACAGTCCAAAACCAGGAGCCAGGAAGTCCAAGTAGGTCTCTCAGGCAACATACCTCCCAGGGTTCACGGTAGCAGGAAGCTGGAATCAAGCAGGGATAGAACTTCAGCCTAGGCACTCTTAAATGGGATGCAGGCATGCTGGGCAACGTCTTAGACCATTGTGCCCAAATGACTCCTAAAAATACAGCAGACATGGGTAACCTTATCAGTCTGGCTGAGACTAATTGTAATCAGGCAGTATGGAAAGAGAAGCATGATTTTTTTTTTGCAGGGAAGGGAAATAATAAGCTATGAAGTGAATACTGAATGCCTAAGTAAGCTTTAAGGCTGCAGATCTAAATACAGATCTAAATTGAACCATTTTATGGAGGCACTCTGTGTCTACTAGTACAATAATTTCCATGAATGTTTTGTGTATACTGCTGTTGGTAAGAAAAGACTTGTAGCTGAGGCAAAAAAATTTTAAGGCTTTTTTGTCTGGTATTTACCAAGGAGACAGTAATTCAAGTGACTTTCTAGTATGTTTTAGTTGACAAAAAAAATACTTAACTTGAAAGAGAGCGAGAACTTCCATCCATTTGTTCACCCAACAAATGACTGCAGCAGCCAGAGCAGGACTGGTCTGAAGCTGGAAGCCAGGAATTTCTTCCAGGTCTGTCGCATAGGTCTGGGGCCCAAGAACTTGCACCATCCTCTACTGCTTTCCTAGGTTCTTAGCAGGGAGCTGGCTCTGAAGTGGAGCAGCTAAGACTCAAATTAGTGCCAATTGGGCATGCTCGCGCCTCAGAGGATTAGCCTGCTAGTGGACTGCCCCCTAAAGATTTATTTCAAGCGTGTAATTTTAAAGAGGGAGAAGAGAGGGCCTGGCATAATAACGTAGCGGCTAAATCCTAACCTTTAATGCACCAGGATCCCATATGGGCGCCAGTTCTAATCCCAGTGGCCCTACTTCCCATCCAGCTCCCTGCTTGTTTCCTGGGAAAGCAATTGAGGATGACCCAAAGCTTTGGGAGCCTGCACCTGGCTCCTGGCTTCAGATTGGCTCAGCTCCAGCCGTTGCTGCCACTTCGGAAGTGAACCAGTGATGAAGGATCTTTCCTCTATAACTCTGCCTTTCCAATAAGCTTTTACCAAAAAGAAAAACAAAACAACAACAACAACAAAAAAGAGACAGCCTCTATCAAACAGTTAACAGAGAAGCCTTTATTTTGAAAGCGTTAAGAGTGAGCTCTTCAATCTACTAGTTCACTTCCCAGCAGGCCACATGATTGAGGCAGAGGCAGTCTTCCAGGTTTCTCATATTCGTGGGTTAGGCCCAGATGCTTAGACCAAACTCTGCTTTTGCAGGCCAATGGCACAGTAGCTGGATCAGAAGTGCAACACTTGAAACACAAACTGATGTTTCCGGCATCTCAGGGCTGGCTTCATGCACTTAGCCAATCCAGAACTAGAAATGTATTTCCTGGGGAGGTGATCTTTAACCTGAGAAAATGTTTGTGATAATTCTGAACAATTTGAAAAAGTGAAGTTTAGCTTTGTAGGGTGGCTAGGTTCATGGCTCCGTAGAAAACAAAATATGTGAGGAAGATAATTTAATCATACTGTATGGCTGCTTAGAGAATATTCATATAAATGAATCTGAACTATAGCAGTTGTGTGGAGTAGAGAAAACGGCAAAATACTCATAGTAATCCCTCAGTATTCATGGGAGCTTGAATCTAGGGCCCCCAACTCTCAAACCAAGTGTTTTATTTTGAGCATCTCATGTTACACTGTTGAGATATGTATTCATATATCTCAACAAAGATAAAATTCTGCTAGCACTCAAGTTGAGCTGATACTGCTGATCCATAACCCACACTAGTGTAGTAAGACATGCATGTTCATGATATTGTCACATGACACAAGCTGGCCATTAGTTTTTATCATTTGGTTAATCACTTTATACCTATTAAGGATAATATGGTGTCTGCATAATACCACATCTGCTTTGTACCTGTGACGTAAGTGGGGTTTTTTGGGAAATATTTACAAGGAGAAAATATTCTGTTGGTTCACACCTGGGTGGCCACATCGGCTGGAGCTGAGCTGATCCAAAGCCAGGGGCTTGTTCTGGGTCTCCCATGTGGGTACAGTATCCCAAGGCTTTGGGCCATTCTCTACTGCATTCACAGGTCACAAGCAAGGAGCTGGGAGGGAAATGGAGCAGCTGGGATACAGACCATCATCCATGTGAGATCTTGTCACTTGTAAGGCAAGGATTTAGCCACTGAGACATCATTCTGGGACCATTTTTTTTAAGACCTTGGTTCAAGTACTAGCTTTTAAAAATGTTTAGTCTTTTAAAAAGATTCAGTAGATTTCTTCAAATTTTTAATGTGGGTTGCTCTTTAATGCATATGTCTTAAGATACCATCCTGGGGCCTGGCATGATAGCCTAGTAGCTAATGTCCTCGCCTTGCATGCACCAGGATCCCATATTGGTGCTGGTTCTGATTCTGGCTGTTCAGCTTCCCATCCAGCTCCCTGCTTGTGTCTTGGGAAAGCAGTCCAGATGGCCCAAAGCCTGCAGTGGAGACCCAAAAGAAGTTCTGGCCATTGCGGCACCCTGGAGAGTGAATCATCAGACGGAGATACTCCTCTCTTCCTCTCTGAAGGAAAAAAAAAAAAAGATACCATCCTGATCCTAAAATGAAATATTCCTGGAGATACAGATGTTTCATTTGGGGAAGCCCCAAGTTAAGGTGCAGTCATGGCTTCAAACTATTTAAGCAAAGAAGTTGGACTCTGTGTTTACAGCTTTCTACTTTTAATAGTCCTAGTGATTGGGAGTTCTTGAACAGCACAATTTGATTATTTGTCCAAGTTAGAACATCAGTGTTACAACGTGTGTACTTTTCAACACACTTTTTATAAAAATTGAAGCTAAGAAATTATCTCATGACTGAAATTGCTAGAAATTGTGTGATCACAGTGGAATTTTTTACTTTCTGTAACAAATAACACCAGAAAAATTTTAATTGCTTAGAAATAGGTTTCTAATTATTCCATAGGTCAAATAATTTAAAATGTAAATTAAAAAAATATTTTGAACAAAGTGGTAGTTAAGATAGGAGGTTAGGAAAATAGGGTCTGGGAGCTTGCACTATGGTGAGTAAAGCTGCTGCCTAGAATGCTGGGTGTCTTCCATGGCACTAGTTTGTCTTGCCTGTTGTACCGCCAGCCCAGTTTTTTTTACTGGGATAGCCTAAGTGTTTAGGCCCCTGCCAGCTATTGAATAGATCTGGGGGAAGCTCTTGACTTGTTCAGTCTGTTACAGCACTGTCCATTGTGGCCACCTCAGAAGTGAAACTAATGTGTGGGGAGCAGGGTGCTAAAGCCACTCCTGGGATTGGAAGGGGCCGTTGCAAGATGGCGGCTGACCCAGGGCCAGGAGGCGGAGCAGGTCTCGCCAGCAGGTAAACAGGAAGTCACAGGGTTAGGCTAATGCCCCTGCTGCGATTATTGGCCTGTCATGTAGCGCCAAGTGAACCCACGGAGAGAAGTGATTGGTGGAGAATGATATAAATGTAGCCAGTAAATGCTAGGGAACGGACGGACTAGGCCGGATGGACAGACAGACGAAGATGGACGAGAGAGATTAGGTGGCGGAAAGGAGACGGGGAAAGTACGGGAAGAAATGTGGGAAGGAGGGCAGTAGAAAGAGGCTGGAGAAGTGGTGGAGGCATGCTAAAGCCAATGGGGACGGGAGCAGCAGAGATCAGGATTTAAACGCAGCTGCTTTTGGCAGTGAGAGGTCCGGTTCCGGCTTTTCCAGGACCCTCAAGAGTAAGCCTCGTCGTTTTTAGTGTCAGCAGCAGTGGCGGCACTAATGGGTGGAAGATCTCTCAGGAGCTCTTCCAAAATAATCCTTTAATAATTAAACAGTGAAAATTGAAGATAGGAGTTTTCACCTTCAGCTGGAACAAGGAACAGCAAGCAAATCAAACTGAAAAGAAGGAGAACATCAGAATTGCAAAATATAAGAATGAAATGGACACTATACAATATCAATATCAAACCAACAAAGCTAAGAGAGCATTAAAATGTATTTGTT